TTACTGTAAATAACAAGTGAAAAAATTTTCAGCCTTATCAGTTGGACATTCCGGTTTTTATACTGCTTTTTTTTAATTCACTAACGCTCTAAAAATGAATATTTCAGCCGCAGTAAAGAATCAACGTTGGCGGATTTTGGTTCTTGGCATCCTTTACGATCGGTTACGATGCCTAGAGTACGGAGACCTGTACGATTTCGTCAACTTAGCGAGTTTGATAGGGGCCGTATAGTGGGACTTCGGGAAGCTGGACTTTCGTTTCGGGCAATTGCAGTTAGAGTGCAAAGAAGTGTAGACACTGTGGTTAGGTGTTGTCAGGCATGGCTTCGAGAAGGCCGTACGCAAAGAGCAAGGGGCACTGGACGCCGCCGTAGAACAACAGACCGTGAAGATCGCCGCCTAAGATTATTAGCCTTAAAGGACCGTTTCTCCACTACCAGGTCCATTGCAAATGAATGGTTTGCAGAACACGGAAGACCTATTGGCATGCGAAGTGTTTACCGACGAAAGAGAAGTTTTGGCTTGTTTTCATACCGGCCACACTGGGTCCTCCCTTTAACTCGAGAACACCGACGTAATCGCCTTGAGTGGTGCAGACAACGGTCACTCTGGGATCAGGAATGGAACAGTATTGTCTTTAGTGACGAGTCTCCATTTTGTTTAGGCATGCACGATGGTCGTGCCAGGGTTAGAAGGCGACGTGGTGAAAGGAGGAATCCACAGTTTTTTGTTGAAAGACATGTTCATCACACTGTTGGAGTTATGGTTTGGGGTGCTATAGCTTATGGTTCCAGGTCACCTTTAACCTTCATCAGAGGTAACATGAACGCGCAGCGTTATATCCACGAAGTTCTAGAACCCCATCTTTTACCCTATCTTGACACCCTGGCAGATCCAACTTTCTAACAAGATAATGCCCGACCACATGTTGCAAGAGTCACAATAGACTTCTTTCAACATAATGTTGTCACATTGTTACCATGGCCACCAAGATCTCCCGACTTATCCCCAATTGAGCACGTGTGGGATATGATGGGTAGGAGATTGCTCAATTTGCAACGTCCTCCTCAGACTCTAGAAGCACGAGAGGAGTTGGTGGTTTCCTGGAATGAGATACCACAGGAGGACATTGACCACCTGATCAGAAGCATGCCTAGGCGCGTTGGAGAATGCGTAGCACATCAGGGTGCATCCACACATTATTAAAGGTCAAAGGGCTTTAACGCAGTGCAATCATTTTGAAATTTTTATCATTTACTTATTATGCTTCATTAAGTACTTATACAAAATTTCATTAAAATAAAACCATTTAAACCGGGTATTCGGATTTATTTATGTCACTTAGTATATTTTTAACGATGTTTTAGTCAGCGATAGACTGAGGCATCATTGTTTTAATGCAGAAGTCTAGTTCGAAAGAGCGACTACAGCGAGCTAACAAGTTATCTTCATTCAGAGATATTTTATAAATACAAGTGATCCTGAGTATAACTTATAAAATAACATAAAGCTCCTTTTACGTTGCAACTTGGTACAACTTTTGTTTCTCACGACAAGTGACGAGGATATATTGTAATCATGAAAAACTTAGGAAATGGGGTATTATTTTTTTATGTTACCTGACGTATAAAACGATCGAAATAAGACAGCGCAAAGCTCCATCTACCACTAGAATCGGCCACTGCAAAACAGTGAACCGCAGCCCACCGGTTGGGACAGTATAGATTTCTCGAAATTGGAGGCCCTGTCCCTGTTTGACCGATAGATGGTGACAATTCTAGTTGTCTAGTAGATGTGGCCTACTTGCCATTGAACAAAAATAGTTGCTCTGCTTTCGTTCGTTGCCCGAGAGATCCATGCCTAGAGCATGCTGAGGAGTAGCCAAAAGCACGAAACATCCCTCCATGGTTGACTGGCTTTGATCGGACAGGCGAAGGCAAAACCTCTCCACCTTAGATGAAAGTTTGAAGGTTACCAGTATGCCAAAGCTTTGTAATTTACAAAATAAATTACCCAAACTTCGTTATTTGAAGTTTTAGAGATCCCTGCGTATTTTGTTATTTCTTTAATATGATGAGATGCTATATAAAAAGCTTCATAGTTTTTGACAGTCGATCTAAGAATCTAAGAATAAAATCGCCGTATCTTGGACACGGTCACCGACAAGTTGCCCACTGGTGTACGACCAAGATATTTAACAAAATTTTGAACGTTTGAAGTAGTAAAGTATTTCATGTCCACGATTTTTCCTTGGCAAGACGCGTCAGCAAAATTTTCGAACGTTTCGGAATGTAATAACGTCTCTTGAAGATGCGGCAGCAAAGCTCAGTGTATGAATCAGAACATTTTTATTTGTCTTTTATAATGTAAGCGCATACCTAAAGTTTTGCTCTACACAATTTGAAGGCGGTCATCTTCCATTCTCCATACATTAAGTGATTCGATTTCTGACATTTGTCATGACTCTTACCAGCATAGCGGGCGTCATGTTGGTAATTTCTTCATAGAACTCTTCATATCTCGCATGACCGTTGGGCGGTTCACATACAAGATTACAAAAAACCCCATAGAAAAAAGTCACAAGGGCCAAGTCGGGAGAGCGAGCTGGCCATTCCAAATCGCCAGTAGTTGTGACGAGGCGCTCTGGAAAGTGCATAACAGCTATCGACTCTCTCAAAGTGTTTGCAGTTACACCGTCTTGCTGGAACCGAATATCATCCTGAGTCCAACCCAACTACCGCGGAAAAAATTGCTGTAACATGTTTACATGCCGGTCCGAATTTACTGTTACTGTGACTTCATTCCCATCAACGAACTTTAGACCAATAATTCCAGTAGAGGAAAGTGAACACCATGCACACTGTGACTTTAGGTGAATGCAAACGACTTTAATGCAATTCTCAATAGCAAACGCATTGCTCTTCTAGTATACGAATCCACCAGCGCCCCGACATCACTCGACTAAGTGGAGCGCATTTGAAAAAACGATGTTTCACTCCCGCACCTTGTACTCAATTTCTGATTGAAATAACAATGTAAAACAGATCACATATCTGAAAAATTGCATTATTAAAAAAAAAACGCTTCTCAACTAGCAAAATCGAGGTAAATTTTATTCCGAACCATTGTGTAAATTCAAAATGCTCGACGACATTGCATTGCTGTGAAACCCGTTTGAAACCCTGTTCAGCTATTGATGCGTTGAGATGAAAAGAATTAAGCTCCTTTCGCGTATGTGAAACTAATCCCATCCCTGTACACCGTTTCCTGCTTATAACGAGAATCCGAATTGCGAGAGTACACCATGAAGTTCGCTTCAAAGGATAAGAAGAACTTGTAAATGGATCCGTTCAAGACTCAGCTTCTCAGAGAACGTTCTTATGTGTGCGAGATATCTCGCAGTGAATGTAACATGATGAGATGTATATTTTGATCTTCCTAGGCGTAACAAATTCCAAGTAATTATCATAATCATTATGGTGGCATAGAGTGAGCTGTTCAATTATGGGTGTATTGCAGGTACTGTAATATTATGTAAGTAATTATTGTCATTAAGGCCCGATTTTACTGTAGAACCGCGGCGTCTCTGAAGTAATGGATCTACTGAATTTGGTCGATTTCTTGTAAAATCTCTCTCAAATTAGAGAATTATTTAACGAATTGTGTAAGAGGGACTCCTAGTTCTCATGTTAAATCAAGAATTCTCATATTAAATCAGGTACAAAAACATATTTTTCATTTGTATCCGGAGAAAAAAGTTGAAGAAAATTCCAGCAATTCCAAAAAAGTTTGTGGCCTACTTGAAACATGGATCAAACCTGAGGCAATAGATTGACATGGCGCAATTACTGCGTATTTTATTTAAGATAACGGGGTCTTACAGTTCCTGGACAAAATTCTGCTTGACACACTCTTTGAAAACATAAAATTACAGAATGCCTATTCTTTAACAAAAATTGAGGAAATAATCAGTTTACTTGACGAAAGCCCTGTTCTTCGGGCCAGTTCTGTTAGTGTTAACAGAGAGATATCGCGCAGTCTACTGGATGGTAGGACAACTACGCGACCACGTCGTGCTACGGTGATGATATCAAGGCTAGAAGTAGTCGTCTCGCCCCAGTAGAGGATGCTAGAACTCTGTTTTAACAGGGCTGGCTTCAAGTAAATTGAATATTAAATGTTGTTAAAGAATAAGTATTCCGTATTTTTATTTATGTCTCCAAAGAGTTTGTCAAGCAGTGTTTTGTAGGGGAGACCGGGGCTGGTAGCCGCACGGGTTGGTAGCCGCACTGGCTTTTTCCCCAAAACTATAAATATGGCGACAATGCCGCGTCTCGTGTTTTAAAGCTTAAGTCGCGCCCGAACTTTGTGGAACGTTTCAGTCTGATCAGTGCAATAGAAGTGAGTGCACGCCGTCTAGTGTTATTTTGATGCTCGTAAGTGAATTTATTTTTTATATTGTTTTTATTATAACTTTTGATGTAAAAGTAAGAATATAAAACGAAGTAGACCGTCAGAATTCTACGGAAATCTATTTTTTAGTAACATATTTTTAATAACCACTTTAGTTACCAGACAAAAAATAAACGCAAAAGTATTTTAGAAAACGCTTTGGGGTCGGTCGCCGCATTTGTTGAGGGGCAGGTTGCCGCATGCGGCAACCATCCCGACTTTGGATTTTAAATCATATTGTTGCGACGCAAAAATGTATTTATTTATATATACGTAATTTTAACGATAAGCTTAGCATGAATAATTTAACTTCTAACATAATCATAGCGAATGACCACCTGTATCCGATGTAAACTATAGAAGTTACTCGTATTCCACGTAAATAGAAAAATAACAAGGGTAAAACAAAAGTAAATCCCCGTATTACTGTGATGACGAGCAACTTCCTGTTTACCTCTTTTCATCCTTATTAGCTATCTCTATCTGGAAATCTCCCTTTCAACTTTTACGCTCATTATCCCTACCTTAGCTTCACATTTGCATCTAACTGGACCTAACCTGTATCCACTTTTCACTTTCACGCCTACTGTCGACTTATTCCCTTTAGCTCCACCCTTATGACGTCCTATCTATACCTTAGCATTTAAACCTTTCTTAACACTCCTACTCTTCCCTAATCAACCAATAGAATAGCATTGGATAATATTAAACACATAGCTGCATGCTGCATGCGAAAAATATTGTATACGTCGACAGCATGACAGATTCGTCTCAACTTGCGAACGAGTAACACATAACTGTTATCTCCAACCACTTGTAACTCTTTATCGTATTACGCCATAAATTAAAATAAATCAATATATGTAAAAAATAAAGTCTTTGTAGATCAATTTGTACAAAGAAGAGTGAGTATACATAATAATAAATATATATTTCACTCCTACACTCAACACATATAATTTGGAAAAACATATTTAAAAACGTTTTATTATCTTCATAGAATATGAGAAACCGTAAAAGAACCACTGAAAGGGGTAAGACACCAGCACACATTATGCTAAGGGCTGCAAGAGAGGTCAAATTAAATAATGAATCCATTAGAGGAGCAGGAACCGATTACGATATCCCTGAAAGAACCCTGAGACGATTTCTGCAGAAAGTCACGGATGAAGAGCTTTATGGCACTAATGAACTACCTACAACTGCAGTCGGCTATATAAAAAATAGACAGGTAAAAAAATATAATTACTTATTGGGCACTTTAGTAAACAGTGTGCTTGTGAATTATTTAATACATTTTCTTCATTTTCAGGTTTTCTCCGACGACCGAGAGAAACAATTAGAGGAATATATATTAAAGGCTGCCGATGTATACTTTGGCTTATCACCAAAACAGATAACAACTTTTGCTTATGAATGGGCTGTCTCACTAAAAATTAAATTTCCCGATTCCTGGAATACAAATAAATGCGCCGGACAAGATTGGTTTACCTATTTTATTAAAAGACGCGCTGGTCTGTCTATACGTACGCCGGAAGCCACAAGTTTGGCACGAGCATCAGGATTCAATAAGCACAGTGTAGGAAATTTTTTTAAAAATCTGAAAACAGTTCTGCATAGGCTACAAATTGGTCCTCAGGATATCTACAATATGGATGAAACTGGAATTACGACCGTTCAAAAACCTGACAGAACTGTAGCAAGAAGGGGCTTTAAACAAGTAGGTCGAATCACCTCTCAAGAAAGAGGCACATTAGTGACTCTCGCGATAGCTGTAAACGCCATTGGTAATAGCATTCCGCCCTATTTTATTTTTCCACGCGTTAACTTTAGAGAGCACATGCTCTCTGGTGCCCCACCTGGAAGCGCTGGCGCAGCTAACCAGTCTGGATGGATGAAAAAGGAGCATTTTCTGCACTGGTGTCAACATTTTGTTAAGCACCCTGGTTGCTCCAAAGAAAGGCCGGTACTTCTGTTGTTAGACAATCATGACTCCCATTTATCAATTGATTCTTTGGACTATCTTAAAGAGAATGGAGTGACGGTGTTGTCCTTTCCGCCACACTGCTCTCACAAGCTACAGCCGCTGGACAGATCAGTGTATGGGCCCTTAAAAAAATATGTAAATACAGCATGCGATGGTTGGATAACCAGTCATCCAGGGTCTAGTATGACCATCTACGATGTCCCTAAAATTGTGGCCGTAGCTTTGCCAAGCGCAATAACACCAAAGAACATAACAGCAGGGTTTAAAGTGTCAGGAGTTTATCCATTCAATGAATGTGTCTTTTCTGAAGACGAATGTCTTCCCTCTTATGCTACTGACCGCCCACTTATTGAGCAAGCAAAATATGATGAAATTGACAGGAAACCTAATAATAGCCCTAAACCTAAAATATCTCAGGATACTAGTCCCCAACCAGGAACATCTCGGGATTATTCTGAAATTCTTAACGCTGATAGCTCAATGCCAAAAACTTCTGAGATAAACCCACCGCTCGAAGAAAAAACTCCGGAAAAGCAAATAATTAAAAATATTAACATATTAGCCAAAGAAGATACCGAGTTGAACACCCAAAAAAAACAGTCAGTCCATTTGAGCTAAAGCCCCTGCCAAAAGCTCCACCAAGAAAAAATGAGAATAAAGGAACTCGAAAAAGGCGTCACACCGAGATTTTGACAGATACGCCAATAAAAGAGGCACTCAGAGATGAACAAACAAAAAAAGTTCCAATAAGAAAAGAGCTTAAAAATAACAAAGAAAACAAAAAACAAAATAAAAAGAAGAAAAATGTAAATAAAAAACAATTGGCTGAAGAATGGAGCGATGAAGATGAGTGTCTATGCGCTTACTGCCTTGATACTTTTACAAACAGTCGTCCGGGTGAGGAATGGATTAGATGTTTTTCATGCAGTGGGTGGGCACACAAAGAATGTGTGGGAGAAGATAACGCTCCTTTTTACTGTATTAATTGTATGAGTGAGTAGAGAAGTGTTTGTAACTTAAAATGTTAATATTTTTTATTTTAAGTCTTTGTGACCTAAGTTCATTAAAGAGTTAGTTACCTAATTTTCTTATAAGTTTAACACTTAACGATAACTTTGACTGTTTTTTTAGTTTTACTTTTTATTACCTGAGTTCATTAGTTAAATTTTCTAATAATTTTAGGTTTAAAAAAATGTACCTGTTTGATTAAAAAAAAATAAAAACATTTTTCTTGTCAAAATTTAATATTAGAAAATAAAAAATCACACATTCTTTATTTTTTTACAATCATTTTTGTATGCGGCGACCTACCCCATGTGGTGCGTCAACCAACCCCGTTAGAGGGGTAGGTTGCCGCACTCTGCTTTACTGAAGGAAATATATATTTGTATCAAAACGATATGAGATAAGAAAACAAAAAAAAATATTTTATGTTGCAAATATATAGGACTTTTCACGGCAACAATGGGTTTTAAAAAATATTAATTATAGTAGCCGTCATAAAATAAATTCAAAAAAGTGCGGCTTCCAGCCCCGGTCTCCCCTACAGCAAAACTGGTATACTGTCATTTTCAATAAAATGCCCACTTAATTGCTGTCATATTAATCTAGCTATTGTGTTAGATTTCTGTTCATGTATCATGGCGCAAATGCTTCTTTTTCATTGGTGGCCCATCTTGCAAAACCGTACAATGATTATCTAGTTTAAGAGACATTTTAGGAAAAATCGATCATATTCATTAGATTCCTTACTTCAAAGATGCCTTCTGGTTGGTTGAACTTTTGACCTACGAACGAATCGGAACTCAGACAGCTGTTATGGATGCGCTGTAGATCTGCAGGCTGCATGATTTTGCGGATGAGTTTGTAGGGCTTTAGTACCTTTTCAACAAGATGTTAAAAAATTAACGAATAGGGCTCTAGGAAAATGTCCTAAGGGATTTTAATACAGTGGTAAAGGCCGCTTAAGAATACTTCTGTGCAACTGGAAGATCAGTCTTTCTTAAATAACTCCGGACCGGCACTAGGTTCGGTTAGGTTCTTGTGAATGGGCCAATCGCGAGACTCCACTGAGACACACTGGTCTATGGTGGCTTACACCGACTTCTATTTCTCCCAGTAATTCCGACCACAACAGTTGGCTTGGGAAGTCACAGGTACTTAAGTACCAAGGCATTTAATGCTTTGCCTGAGCATACTAGCAGGATCGGTCAGAAACTTCTGTTCAAGAAGGGACTTAGCTACGGATCTCAAAATAACAAAATAATATCTGTAATGATTGTATAGGTCTCATACAGTTAATAAAACTGTTAGTGTCATTTCTGTATACCTACTTTATTTTTTTTTACATTTTCTCCCTACCTCTCTCTCCCTCTCTCCATCGGTACCAAGTTTTATTACATGAAGATACCAGTTTTTATCATAAATCTTTACATTAACCGATTGTGAACGATTTTACCGAATTTATATGCTCGTTTTTATCAGCCATTTTCAAATAACCGCTTATGGATTATCTTACCGATCTTATGACCTATATTGTGAACCGATTTTCGTCAAAATGTTTTTAAGTGTGTTAACTATTTTAGGAATACCTGAGTGGCCGTTATTTTTTTACCATTCTTGATCTGTACATTTTATCAGTATCTCTGGTAAATAAATTTTACTTTTTTTACATTAAGTCAATAAGGGTAGCTGCTGGGAAAGAGCTAGGTTATTTGTATAGGGCTGGGAACGGATAGCCTCGTTACCCACTAGCACCGATAGATCATCGGCGATCTACCTCTCTTCTACTACTATGTCAACGGGCTTAGCTTCTCAAGGCTCTCCTCCATAATGTTGCCACGCGATGTACCTCCCAGACAGACTGGCTGATTAGGGCACCTCATTCTAACCGCGTCGAACATTGTACATCCAGAACTAGACGTTACAACCTGTGTCCTAGGATATCGAGATTGAGGAAAAATCTACCCAAGGGGGCCTCTTTCATTTCTAATAACCTTAAGCAGTTCAAAAATCGGATTAACAATGTTTCCCTAAGAAAACTGATTTTTGCGATACATCGGGTATATTATGGGCATGAACCTTCAATGCCACGAGGGAGAATGGTCAACGGTCTCGCCCTCTACATACTGCAATACCTACATTTATATTATTACCTTTGACACAAATCAAACCCTATCGAAATAAGACAGCAATATACACCTTATATCCTGGGTAGAGTTAGTATATTCTAGTTCGTTGTCCGAGAGATCAAGCCTAGGCCATGCTGGTGAGTTGTTAAAAAAGAACAAAACAGCTGTGTGTGGTTAGCTGTCTCTGGTTGGTTAGAGGGCAAACGTACGGGGTAATAAATAATGTATGAAGTATCTGATAGGTGAGTAGAATTATCAAAACGTCAAAAAATGCACCCCCTACAAACACCATCTGCCAATTTTTACCCCGCAAATTTCCAAAAATGATCAGGATCCTCTAACAGATCCTGAAAACGTATTAACTCTTTTTCGAAATTTTTCGCGATTACAATACTTCCTCGCCAGCAGGCGTGGAAGTAAAAAATAACGAATCCTAATGTGTAATTGGAAATTAAATGACCCTATATGCACGGATCATCGAGCATCCAGATATGCAGTTCGGTTAGCTCGACGGCCACATCTGTTAAATACACATATCCGCATCCGAGGTCCATTCCAACTATTCCTTTTTCCTCTCACACACGTGCGATTGCCCTTCCGTATATTGATCACTTAACTTTAAAATAATTACCGCTTCATAGTAGATGGCCCGGAAGCCTTTCAAGTTAGCCCGGTGATTCAATTAAATACACATAAGACTAAAGCGGACCTTTGTAGGCAATCGCCTGTAACAAGAAAAACGGCCAGCAGAGCTAATTACATGAATTGGCAGCGGTCTGAATGTACGGGTTAAATTGGAATAAGCAGCGGCCTAGAGGCGATTCCAACTCACATATTGATTTGATGAGGTATAATGCCAATGATGCTTGCATAGTGATGTTATCATTGCTATCACTACGCCTTAACCCTTTCAATCCGGATTACTTTTTTTTAAATTATTGTTTTGAAATTTTGTACTCGTATACCTATGTGAAAATAAACTAAAAAAAAGAGAATTTGGTGGAATTATTTTTTATTTCAAACGGCTTTGCATAAAGATAATGGGACACTGATGTCCCAGCAGGTTTCTTTCGCGGGATATATTTGTCCCAACCGTTACTCAATTTAGGTATGATATGGTGTAATGCAATCTATGTACAATGGTAAATCACACATCCTGCACAAAAGTTTGGTCTGTACAAACCTAATGGGATACATCTGTCCCGGTATGAATACCTGTTGGGACCTATATAACCCAGGGATAAATAATAGGAAGGAACACTTAAAAAGTTAATTTATATAGAAATACTGCATTCAGTTGCTGACTTACTACAAAACAACAATAAATAATTGACACAGACATTATAAATGCAAATAAATCACTGATCACGTGGGCTGTCCATACCCTATTCGTAGTCCATTTACGCTGAGGCAAAACACAACATGCCCAAAAGCGAGATTGTACAGGTCCGTATTTTCCTCAATGCACTTGGAATAATCTAACAAAACAAATGATTATTTTAATAGAAAGAAGTGCACATAATAATAATAATAATAATATAATAATATTTATTTACTCAATGTACAAATATAACAAACAATATGAGTAAATAATACTTTCCACAATTCTTTATTCGCTTGAAAAACTTGAATTATCGTCCGAATGGTTCATACTAATTATTACAGGTTCAATTTGAATATCGATCATATTGTCCAGATCTCACATCTTTGTTTCGATTTTCTCTTGAACGTGACGGAAGCAATCTTTCCAATGGTTTGCCAACACTCTGTTGACAGCTTCAAAAAACAAATTTTTCACGTCAGATAATTTGAATGTTCTAAATCATTTCAATGAGATTTAAGTCGGAGTGATAAGGGGGTAGCCTTAAAACGGTCTTATTTTGGTTTTTAGCCATTTCGTCAATAACTTAAGATTATATTTGCTTTGACCATATTTTCATTGAAATTTCTGCCTTTCCTGTGGACATTGTGGGATTTTTTTCTAGTTTTCTACAGTGGTATACAGCATTATCAAGTACAATGACGGCATTGTCGTCAAGCTCCCGTCCATTTTTTCATGGTAGTAGGTCCTTTTCTTTGTCTCAAATGTTCAAAGCCATCTTCATAGCCAATGCGACAGATAACAAATCGTTTTCCTTTTTCCTGGAAATAATTATTTCAAGTAGTATTCAAGAAAACTGACAGTAATACTAGCAGAGTATCTGACAGGTGTTGGGTCCAAATCTACCAAATATATCTAAGCTTAGTGTAGCTAAGTTTTTAGCGTGGGCTCATAGATTCAGTCTACTTGACACCATCTTTACAACACAAATGATGAATAGGTTAGGTACACGTACCTGACGGATTCTTTAGGCCAGTGGTTAGTCCATCTAAGAAGACTTGTCTTGCTTATTTAATTGTAGAGTCAGCTCATACTTTAGGTTTTGTATGTACTGCATTTGTCCAGGTTTCATCCAAGTAATGAATATCCCTGCCCTGGTCGCGGTATTTCTTTATTGATTTTAAATAATTTCCTCTCTATAAAATAATCTCTTGACTGTCCATTAAAATAATATTTCTGTCCCGTTTTCTGTGCTCAAAATGAAGTTGTTTGAGTAAACTATAGAATGTGGTCCTTTTGAAAGTAGGTAAGTCTTCATCCCTATTAACCTGCTGTAATACTTTATCTATGGTGGGAGCAACTTTGTTTGTGTTGAGCGTAAATGGACTACGAATAGGGTATAGATGTTTACAAAATCATGCCGCGTGTTCAACCGCTTGCATTTTGTTGCTCCATGTTGCCACATCGCAAATTATTCTCCCACAACCATAAAATACTGATATGTCCCAGTGCGAGATGTTTCAAATACGAGGAACTCATTTTGGGCATTTATGAAAACTTGCATCAGATTTTGGCGTCGCAAAAAATGTAGTGGCCTATTATGTCTTTTTATACCGAAGCAATCGCGAAGACAGAAATCCTAACACCGGAGCACCGCGGCTGCTATGGAGGAGCTGAAAGAAGCTTTGCAAGACAATTTTTTGAACTGCCGAAGGTTAGTAGAACTG